AACAGAAAAAGCTTCCAAGAAGCAGGAAAAGACCACGTAGCTATGAAACATAAGGTCCTAAAAAATGGGTCTTTAATCAGAAAGGACAGGTTTAATTAGAAGAAAAGGAAAAGAAAACGCAAATATAAACAAGAGATTTCTGGCAATAACCCCTTATCGAGAAGGAAGATAGAATTGTTTAATAATAGAAAATTGGTTTTAGTTCATGATAAAATGGAGGATAGGTTAGAAGGGAAAAATTGCAAATTTAGTTTAGTTAAAAATCTCTTTAAATTGAAACCATCTTGCTATGGTTTCACCAGCTAGCTTGATGCAGCCCTCCAATACAGGCAATAGCCTTAACTAGTGAGGCAGACCGCACTTGGATGCCTATAGAGGAAGCTGAGTGATGTCAGATCTATAACTTAGATAGTTTATAATGTAACTATATATTAGCTTTGATCTAATAAGATACTAGTGAGGCTGCCAATAAAGGAAAAATAAAAATAAAAATAAAAAAACTTTAGTTTAATAGCATGTTTATCTATTTATAAATAACAAAAACTAACAAATTTAAATTAAACTAGACTAAGCTAAACAAAGTAGTTAAAAGATACTAATAGTTATGAAGTATTGTTAGACTATTTCTTCTAGTTGAAGTACATAATCTATTTGTATTGTCCTTTAGACATGTTCAATTGCTTACTCTGAATATCTATTGGTTTTGTATTTACTAAAAATAAACAAACTATTTTAAGAGATAAACAATACCAACTATTTTGGAAAATTATGTATCAATCTTTTAAAAGAGATAAGCTAAAACATCTACTTTTTGATAAAATTTTCTCAAAAAAAGTAATAGGTCAACCAACTTTGTAGGTTCTTCTTTATAAGTTTTACAATTATATAAAGACAATTTTCAGTTTTTTTAATATATTTAGTATTAACTTTATTGTTTTATGTTCTCAGAATATCCTTCTAATTTGGATGCCGAATATAATAGAGGAGTTCATCACAAAAAAAGGTTGATCTTTACAAAAAATGTCTAAAGTAATTTGCATCTTGGTTTTATATTTTTGATACTTTATTAATAACACACCTATCTGTGTAAAACCAAGTATATTATTACTCTTTAAAATTTACTATAATATTTTTCTGCAGTTTAATTTTGAAGTTGTTGATCAAAGAATCATTAAAAAGAGTTGTTATTAGTACTAAATATTAATATTATGAAAGCAAAGAGTCTTCATAGCAATAGACCTAAATGATTATCGTTATAACGAATAACGATAATTGATTATACATCCCAATAAATTCATGATTATGACGTAAGTAATCATTGACTCATACGCCTTTTCCTGTCTTGTTGGCCTTTTTAACCTCTTTTTTTTGCATTACATTGTTACTAGCCTGAAACATAACAAGAAAATACATATCCGAATAAGGATTAACAGTGTGACAATGAAAATGCTTATCAGTTAAAATCTTGTTATCGATAATTATTAACTATAGTCGGTAAATTCAACCATTTATACGTAATTGTTTTCCCGATTTACTAAATGAAGAAATGAGTAAATAATTATATGCGTACTGTACATGGCAAATATTTGCTGAATATTTACTCCATTATTAATCATGTGAAATGTTTTACCAAAAGTATAATACTGTTAAGAGTCCCGTAAGGCAGGCATCTCTTAACAATTTACGTTAACTGTTAATTAAAAAAAAAAAAATCTTTTTTCGAAATGGATTTGGAACGTAAAAAGGAATTAGAAGAGAAAAGGCAAAAGCTTGCTAAACTTAGGCAACAGAGAGAAGAACGCAAACTCTATAGTCAAAACACGACGATAAGCGAGCCTGCTTATAGAACTGATCCGGTATTTTTTGTTATTTTTTTGCGATTTTTTGTGATTTTTTGTGATTTTTTGTGATTTTTTGTGAATTATGAATTAAATCAATTATTATTTTAATCCTCAAAATCAAATCAAATATTTGAATGTGAAATTATAGGAAAAGGATCGTAAGATTGATGAATATGTTAAAACACTGCTAGCTGAGACGAAAGAGAATAAAGTAGCAGATAACGTTAATGTTTGTGAATTAAGTCAATTGTCATCGTAATTCTCAAAATCTAATTTAAATATTTGAATGCATTTATAGGAAAAAACCGATGAATATATTAGAACTTTGCTAACAGAAAAAGATAAAGCAGCACGTTCCGGAATACCGTCAAGTCTAGAAGATCTTGACATTTTTAATAAAAGCAAAACTGAGAAGGGTAAGAATGCTGCGCTTTATGCATATAATTATTCGTCTCCAGGTGCCTCGGTCCCTCAAAGGTTTTTTAACTTTTAGTATATTTGTTAAAAGCATTCATTTTTGTTTTATTTATTCATGCTATGCAGTTTTTTTTTTAATCATTTGCCGTTATGTTATATTATAGCCCGACATTTACCCCACCGCCTCGTTTTATGCCCGAACTAAGCGCGGCTCATGGGGAATCAATAGACGTTACTCCCAAGGTAATTTCAATAGATTTATTTTTATTAGATTAATTAATAAGTTTTTTTATATAATGATTATTATTGTTATTTTGTTTTTTCTTAAAATTCATAATTGAATCAGACTTTGTTAACCCATTTTTAGGAAGTTTCTTTACATGAAGGAGGAGTACAGACCGATGAAACTTCTTTTGGACCTTCACCACCTTCAGAAGAGGAAGTTAGAGAAAAGGTTTTGAAAGAATATGAAGCTGAAAAGGCAAAAAAAGCAGCCGAGGAAGCCGAACGGCAGAGAATAGAAGCCGAAAAGAAAATAAAAAAAGGTAATAATAATAATAATAATATATTAAATAATAGTAAAAAATAGTGATAATCGACAGTAAGAATAATAAGATCAACGATAATATTATTGTCGTAATAATAATAATAATACGTAATAATAATAATCCGTAATAATAATAATAATAATACGTAATAATAATAATCCGTAATAATAATAATAATAATAATAATAACAATAATACAGTCAACTCTTTCTATCCTTGGGCTTAAAAAAAGAATCGGTTTGAAAAGTTTGAAAAGCTTAAAAAGTTTGAAAGTTTGAAAAGCTTATAAGTTTGAAAAGTTTGAAAAGCTTATAAGTTTGAAAAGTTTGAAAAGCTTAAAAAGTTTAAAAAGTTTAAAGTGTCTAAACAGACCTTCATAATAAACTTTTAATCTTTTGTTTAGAGAGTGTTTGGTTTATCTATGTTCGGTTTAGAGAAAGTTGACTGTAGTAATAATAGTAATAATGAGATTAATAATAGTAATAAATAATAACGATGATAATTTAATCAGATTTATCGGAAAAAGAAAAAGAAGCATTAATAAATTCATCGGAATTTGCCGAGTTCTTTGAAAATTCTGCCAAACTCGTCCAAGAAGTTCTTAATGATCGTTATGACCTTATGATAGATTATAGTCTTATTGAAGACGAAGAAAGGTAAAGTTATTATTTCTTTTTCTTTATTAATTTAATATTAAATAATATTGTAATAATAAATTAATAAATACGAAAAAAATAGTCATGAGGAAACAGGAAATCATGTTAAATGCGTGTGTTCATTTTTCGATAACCGATGGAGCAAACATCGATCTGTTACTGACGTTAATTTTTCAAAGAGAGTAAGATATCATTTACTTCAATATCCACTGATGTTTTTTTTAATAAATGTTTCTAAACATTAATTAAATATTTATATCTTAACATTAATTAAATATTTATATCTAAACATTAATTAAATATTTATATCTAAACATTAATTAAATGTTTATACATACAGAATCCTGAACGTGTTGTTGCTTCATATAATAAAAATTCATTAGCAAAATATGAACCGGATGGTATTGTTTTAGTATGGAATTTACGCCAATCTGAACGTCCAGAATTTGTTCTTCATTCCCAGGTTAGTTAATAATATACTAATTGCTACTATATAGTATAAATAATTCTCAAAATAATAATAAAAAAATTAATTCTTTGCATTTAGTCGGATGTGCTTACAACCACTTTCTCTGATTTTAAATCAGAGCTTGTTATTGGTGGTACTTATTCTGGTCATATAGTTCTTTGGGATACAAGAGCAAAGTCTTCTCCTGTTCACAAAACTTCTTTCTCCGTAAATGGCCATACTCATCCTATCTATTCAATGCAAATTGTGGGTACTCAAAATGATCACAATCTAATCACTGCAAGTACTGACGGTATTGTATGTACTTGGCACTTAGATATGTTGACTCAACCAGTGGTGCGTTTTATTTTATTTTATTTTTCTTTGCAAAGATGAAATTCATCACACTTAAATTATATCAAACTTAAATTATTTGCAATTTTTAGGATCGTTTGGAATTAATACATTCTGAACATAGTAAAACTGATGAAGTTTCAGTTACTGCATTTGGGTTCCCAGATAATGAAACTACGGCCTTTTGGGTCGGAACAGAAGAGGGTAATGTATATCAAGTTAATCGACGTGGACGCCCTGGAGGGTAATTACAATTTTTTTTTTCCATTCATTCTAAATATCATCATTTAAATACCATTTTAAATATCATTTTAAATACCATTTTAAATATCATTTTAAATATCATTTATTTTTTAGCAAAGCTGGAATCAACCAATATGACTTTTATAAAGGTCATTGGGGCCCGGTCACTGGTCTTCATTTCCACCCTAATAATGGAACTGAAGAGTTTTCTGATTTATTCTTGACTTCATCCGTAGATTGGACTGTAAAGTTATGGAGAGCTGAAGTAAGATAATTTTAATTTATTGTAAATAATATTTAATTATGAATTATTAACAAAATCTAATTTGATATTTTTCAAAAAAGTCATTTTTAAAACCGTCAACACATCTCCAAATTATTACACCATTACATTCTTTTGAAAGTTCAGATGATTATGTTTATGATGTTAAATGGTCACCTTGTCATCCTGCACAATTTGCTTCTGTTGATGGTACTGGAAAGTTTTCTTTATGGAACATGAATGTGGATGTTGAGGTAACTTTTATATTTTTCATAAACATATATACATATTACGTGTATACATATTACAGTATATGTGATTTAAATTTATTAAACATTTCAAACTTACTATTTAATAATAATAGGTACCTATTGTTAGTACTCAAGTTGGTGAAGGAAAGGCATTAAATAAGGTTCAATGGGATAAAGACGGAAGAAAGACAGTAATTGGATCTTCTGATGGACGTGTTCATATTTATGATATAGGAGAGGTAAGATAAATTGTAAATTTTGTTAGCTATTTAGTTAATGTAATTAGTTAATATTATAAAATATATAATTAGTTAATATTATAAAATATAATTAGTTAATATAATTAATTAATGTATGATTAATTTTTCTTTTCAATTTCGTTTTAGTTATGCATTCCTCAAGATGATGAAAGTACGCTATTGCAAAAAACACTTTCAGAATTAAATGGTGTCAATATAATGGATAATTTAGATAGTTTTAGTTTAAGATTCACTCTTTCAAAATAATTATTTATTGTTACGTAATTTTTTTTTTTGAGTTTTCTTTTGTAACAAGAATTTCTACGGAACGGGACGAGATGGTTATCATTCTTGTTGATCAAGGATTATAGAACCATCTATAATTTTACTTGTATTTTTAATGTCATTATTTAATATTAGCTTATTTTAGGGTCATTATTATTATAATAATATTTTAAGTGAAAGTCATTCAAGGTACTGTACGTCGTATTACCAAAATACGTACGTACATAATTTGGCTTTCTTTTGTTTATAAGTATTTTTATTTCTCAAAGTTGTAAATTATTTAAATAATAAAGATTTTATTTTTTTAATACTTGGTACTACGTACAGTACAAAAAACGCAATTTGCTCGATGTCCTTTTGTATTGATTTAATTGAAGTGCAACTAAACTAGTTGAAAATTTTGAAACTTCTTTTTACTTGTGAAAGAAAGGAAAAATATAACGGATACATTTAAATTTAATTATACAGTAAAAATATAGTATCTCTGGTATATTCAGGACTACTACGTATCGAGCTTGCAAATGATGTATGAATTTTCTATATTGTTCAGCAAACATTATAATTATTAATACAATCATTTCTGTAAATGCAATTCTTGATAATGATTGTTGAAAATTTTAGAGATCTAGAATAACGAGAAACCGCAATTTTATGTCAATTGTATTGCTTCAAATCATAAATAAACTAACTAAATAAACAAATTATTAATTAATGAATAAAAGTTAATTTATAACACAAACATTTTTCGTTTAGATCAATCCATTTTATATATATATAGTTTGTTATTATGATGTACTATTTAATTAATGACTTAATGCAACTATTGCATTAAAATTTACATTTTTTTGCATAATCAAGATCGAGATCGAATCAGTTTATACGATTTAATCATCTAAAAATTTCTATATTAACATTTAATCAATTATATAAACCCAAAAAATTAAAATCCATCTTTTCAATTATTTTAACCCAATTGTCTACTCCGTGCTTCGATTTGTGTGAATATTCTTTTTTGTAGTGTTAACCGATATCCTAAAGAGAAAAGAACTTCCATCCAAGCAAATAGAGGTGCAAGAAGAATTGCTATCATTAAAGAAAAAAGTTATTTTTATTTTCATCTTCATTTTTCTAAAATCTTTATAAAAACAATATATATATAATATCAAACGAAAAAGCCAACCTTTTAAGAAATTCTCTCTTGCCGCAGGACCACCTTTCTCGACAATTACATGACCAATAATTTGCATAACCAAGGAAGTAACAAATACAATTATAGCTAAAGTATCATGATTTGGATAGGTTGCGGCAAAATTTGTCGCATCATATACCATGTAGAGGAGGAACGGCGCACAAAGGACCTACATAATGATTATTCATAATGTTTACATGTTTACATGGATGGCTTTTTTTTTTCTTTTTTTTTTTTTACTATGATTTTTTACATAAGTTATTATGTACTTTTGGAACCCGTTGCCGGGGTGAGTTAAACATTAAAAAA